CTAAGACACATAGGACCACTGCACTAGAACGACAACCATCACCCATAAAGAGAAGCGTAGACATGAACACAGACGAACAAATATTGACCAAGTAGATCCACCGAAGGCAACTCCAATCGAATCCCGCGGGATCCCCAAAGACACATCTCCACACGCTCTTCAACGATGGTAGATGCACCATCGGGACAAGGGCTAGACAAGGCGAACCATATTGCATCCCCAGGGAGCTGTCGTCGACTCGTCTTTCTTGGCAGGACACAAACCCTGAACGACAAAAAGACACCTAAAAATGGGGTAGGAGCCCTCCTACCGGCAAGAGCTCGGGTCCATAGTGTCACCATGTCCTAATGCCACATAAAGCGAGGCAGACCTGTGACGCCGGCACGACACGAAGGATCCCTAATCGCGTGGGTCTTGAGAGCACAAGCCAAGGGGTACGATGTGTATATGCTCTTGAAGCTTTTGATTATGTAATATAACTAATAACTTGTGCTTATGCACCCTGGATGCAGAGCCAGGGCATAATAAAGCTTCCATTTTCATAAAAAGACGAAGGCCTTTTGCATTTTGAGGTTTTGAAAGCACGGGAAAAATATAGTTCCAAAATAACTCCTTTTTCTGCAAAGTTTTATTTAATAATAAATTGATTTGTGGGCTACACAAAAAAGACAAATTTTGGATCAAATACGAGATCATTTTAAAGTTTGTATTTGTATTTTTTGGGTAAGCCACAAACAGAAACATATGTTGATCCAATTTACACCTAGGTACTATAAAGTTAAGTGGTCATTTTTGCAACAGGCTTTGCGTATGAAGGGTTTTGACGCGGCCTGTAGGAAGCAGATCAAATCCTTTATACAAGAAGACAGTGTAGGGATCAAGATCAATGATGATATATGTCATTATTTCCAAACGCAAAAGGGACTGGGACAGGGGGATCCCATGCCTCCTATCCTGTTTAATGTCACTGCTGATATGTTGGCAGTTCTCATTGGTCGAACCAAAGAGGACGGTCAGGTGGGTGGGCTCATTCCTAATCTTGTTGAGGGTGGGGTGTCCATACTACAAAACATAGATGATACTATCATTTTCAAACAACTGTGTGGTTTGAAAATTAATTTCAACAATAGTGAACTGATCTGTTTTGGGCGGGCCAAGGAAGAATAGGAAAACTATAGATAGTTGTTCGGTTGTGAGTTGGGATCTCTACTGCTTAGTTACCTGGGAGTCCCAAATCATCACCGAAAATTAACCAACAAAGAATGAAAGTGCCTTGAGGATCGATTTGAGAAGAAGCTAAGTTGCTGGAAGGGCAAGCTTGTGTCTTATGTGGGTCAACTAATTCTGATAAAATCTATGCTTACAAGTATGCCAATGTTTCTATTGTCCTTCTTTGAAGTACCTGTGGGGGTATCGAAAATGCTGGACTTTTATCGATCACGTTTCTTTCTGGCAAAGCGATGCTAATAAATCCAAGTATAGGCTGGCCAAGTGGGTTATAATTTGTGGGCCGACGTACCAAGGGGGTTTAGGGATTGAAAACCTTAAGGTAAAGGATAGGTGCCTGCTCAGTAAATGGTTGCATAGGTTATATTTAGAGGGGAGGATGTGTGGATATAGTTATTGAGTAACAGGTACTTGCAATCAAAAACCCTCACACAAGTAATGATGCAGCCGAATGATTCTCCTTTTTGAAGGGGCTGATGATGATAAAGGTTGCCTTCTTCAATAGGAGCAAATCCATTGTAGGAAACAGTAACACTACTAGATTTTGGGAAGATATATGGCTAGGGAAAACGCCGTTGTCCGTACAATATCCAACCCTTTACAATATTATACAATGTACACCTTCGTAAGTACAACAATAGGATCAATTCCCTTAAACATTTAGTTCAGGAGATCCCTGGTTTGGGAACGATGGGATAGATGGCTACATCTTGTGCGTAGGTTGGTGAAGGTTAACCTTTCTGATGAGCCAGATACGCTACACTGAAAACTTTCGGTGTCGGAGGTATTCCCAGTTAAATCATGCATACAAAATTGATAAACAGTGGTCCAATCCCAAAATCGCTTCACGTTTGGAAAATTAAGGTGCCTCTAAAAATAAAGGTCTTTATGTGGTTTGTTCACATGGAAGTGATCTTCACTAAGAACAACTTGACAAATCATAGTTAGGAGGGTAGTAAATGAAGTTGTTTCAACGACATGATGAATCTATCCAACAACTTTTCCTCAAATGCCCACTAGCATGGTATACAATACATGTGTCGTCCTTTAATGTCAGTCCTCCTAATAGTATTGACACTTATTTGGGGCATGGCTTAATGGGGTAGAGCCTAAAACAGGGGCGCATATTCGAGTCGGACAGAGTGCATTACTTTGGGCTATTTGAAACTATAGGAATGACGTGATTTTTAACAGGCAAAACATCACAAATGTTTTGTAGCGCATCTACCAGGCAACTGGCTAGATCTGTACATGGTCGTTACTCAGCCATGCGAAAGTCAAGGTGCAACTGTTGGCAGACGTTAGCACGGGCTACTTACAACCGGTTTGGCTGACGATCCAACAATAGGATAGGTGTACGGTCATCTTGTCATATTTGTGTCGGTTTTGACAATTATTTCCTTTTATTTCAGTTTGGTTTGTGAACTTGTATTGTACTACATTTTTTGTGGCTACTTTGTTTAATAATATGGTTGTGTGCAGATATACTTTTAAAAAAGTAGGGTATGAAAATATTGTGTAAAAGGAGTGGACTTCATGTTTCTGGAGCCCATCCACGCATCTACCAAATAGCATTATCGTTGATCATATATGATAGATCGAAACATGCTCATGTGCATCACCACAATTCATACTAACGACTGGTAGTCCAGAACACCAGTTTCCTTTGCCACTTCCTTTACTTGTTGCCACCTTTCCTTTTGTTGCCAAATCCTACGACTAGTTGGGATTATGTTTGAAAGACGGTTTTTGGACTTCAACTCTGAACTTCAATTTGGTTCATAGAACCTCATGAATTCACAAAATCATCTGAGATAGC